ACGGCCTTGTAGGTGATGAATTATTTTAACTCTACAACTCCTTTTCCACAGATAAAATGTTGTGAGACTCTCACTGCTATATCACTATTTTCAAGGCAGGTGATCTGACCAACTACATTCCTTTACAACTGGGACCCACCTTGGCATGTACACAAGTGTGAATCATCTCCATTCCCTTCATATTCCATCAGTAAGAGGTAAGGTCTAATTAGACAACTTCTTCCCAAGAATTGCTGCTTTGTGGAGTAGACATCTTGCAGGACGTTTTCCCAGTGACTACAGTCTTGACCTCTTCAAGTCTAGGGTTAAGGCTTATTTTTCCTGCATAACCGCATAAACTTCCCTTCTAAAAAGAAATAAAAGAAAACATTGTGTTAAGCAATGCCATTTACTATTTACAAGCTTTGTTGGTTCCCAGCCACAGTGTGAGCATCCCATGTTTATAAAAATATAATCTTTACCTGATATTTGAGCTTTTAATATATCTCCTTTTCTGATATATTTATGTTTGGACTGCATCATATATTTGCATTATTTTCTGCAACTTTTGTGTGAATTGATGTCAAAAGTTTCCAAAAATCTGCTCATTTCATAGAAACAAGTAACCCTAAAACTTCTGAGAAATGCACTTACCAAAGACATACAGGTCATGACAGTTTAAATAAAGAATGATGCTTAACCATCTGTTTTCATTCATCAGTCTGCCTGTCTGAGTGAGTCAGGTGCATTGACATGTACCACACACCCTTTGCCTAAATAAGACAGGTGCAGTTTGCAATAAAAAATAATCTTCAGTCAAGGGTGGCGAGGCATGATACAATTAGAAAACAACAGGCCTGTGTGTGCGTTTAATCCATCGACTCTAAAAGCAGTCAGCTGACAAAACCCGTCACAGGAAAAATAAATAAATAAATATTCATCAAATCAGCTGCAGGATGTTGGTGAGGTAGTTAAAACATATTCTCACTCCCAGGAGATATTGTCTAGCCCTCTCTGACCTATTGTAATGTTTTTTTTATCATCTTACATCATCCTCTAAAGCTCCACATGTGCATGTACACAAATAAGTCTCCAATGACAAATAGATGGAGGAAAAACAAACAAGCAGACAGATGGGGAAAAAAGAACTTTATTCATTCATTGCTAACTCTCATTGATAACATCATAATTTGCCTGGTTTAACTATTGTGTTGATAACACTGGCAATTTCTGCAGAAACATGTGTTTAATAAAGAAAACAAAAAATGAATGCCTAAACCTTGAGGAATTGTTAAAAAAAATCTATTGATAAAGAAGTCTAGACATTGAAGATACACATCTTTTATTGGGTATAATTGTGTCATTCATGTTATCTGCTTCTTTGTTGTTTTGCCTGTTCAGCAATAGCAGTTATTTTGACAATATCATACAATGCCAAACTGAAATAATTCAAATGACAGAGATTGATCAAGAAAATTCCAATTGTAATTAAACTATTAATTAAATTATTACAAAAATACTGACTTAGTCTGCCTCAGAGCAGCATCCATATGTAATGTAAAACAGTATGTTTGACTTTCTATTATCAGAAATGAAACTTGATAGATTTATTACACCACAGCTACTATACCTTCTGAAGTCATTCTTCTACAAACTTAAGTCTTGGCTATGATGACAGACTATTTCTGACAGCAAGGCCTCTGATCAGGTGGTTTTGAGGAGCATGGAACCACCTCTTAATTGCTGTTGTCCCCAGCACGTGTTAGGGTCCCAGCGGTAGGCAAATAGTCAACTCCTAAACAAAAACAAAACATTTTGTAAGTATAAAAATACATTTTTTTATAAAAAAATACTTCATTGGACTGGGCTTGTTTACATAAGAAAACTGCATCCAATGAAGTCCTAACGGATGAAATAGGTTAAAAAAAAAACCTTTTTCCCATTTGTTATACATGTTTTCTCCAAAACTGTTCTTGATATATAAAATTTTTATATATATATATATATATATATATATATATATATATATATATATATATATATATATACAAGAGTTTTCCATCAGCATCTGACAATTGCATTGGGCATGAAACACAGAATTGTGCTCCCAGGAAGGAAAAAATATATATTTATTACTAATATAAATGATAGCTCTGTTATTATATATTGAGTACAGTTTTATTAAACAGTACTCATTGTATGTTTTATATATATATATATATATAGCCACATACAAATCTGTTTTGCTGTATCACAGCTCATCAATGTGGTTCGACTTCCAATTTCTTCAAGCCGGGATCAAAACTTGACCAATTTGGTGTCAGTCAGAGAGAGACTCTTCCCCTAAGCTAGCAGCACACAGCAGTGAAAGGGTATCTTTTAATGTATTATATATGTGATGTATATAGACACCAAATCAACAACTAGAGCACTCAATTCAGAACTGAAAGAGCAATGCATTATAAGCAGGAGAAGCCAGTTTTAAAATTCTCATTCCCTATATATATATATATATATATATATATATATATGCAAAACACACACAATTTAAAATTCCTATTACAAATATATATATATATATATATATACATACATGTGCATGTATATACATGTACATATATGTGTGTGTGTGTGTGTGTATATATATATATATATATATATATATATATTAATTAAATAATTACAAATAGACAACCTTAAGCTTCCATGACTATAATTTATTTTCCCAGAAAATATATTTTTCCTGGTTCATCAGGTCACATCTCTAGTTACAAAAGTTATATGGGTGTCATGGGCACATGGTGAAGTGGTTAGAATGTTCACTTTCTGACTATGACCCAGGTTTGAATCTCACGACAGTTGATTTGTCATGTAGTAGACTTCCTGATGTTATTGATGTAGAGGGGGACAATCCGTGTGTGCGGGAACTTTTTTTAAAGTGCCTGAAAGCCATACTGCGGGCTAACCCAAGCCTTGTGAGTGAAATTGGGTAGACGGAACACTTGGGGGACTGTTGATAGCTGTGCTAGCATGATGTCTCATGTCATCGTGACTGAGGATTTGAGCTGAGGTTAGTTGGCACATAGCAGTGCTAGCTTGAAATAGAATATTCCCACATGAGGTAATTTGGAATTTTTTGCTGTATAAAATATCTGCTCTGTTATAATAAATACATTTAGCTCTTTTTGTGGATCAGTTTTAATATCTGATATCACTAGGATCCACCTGGATTACATACCAACAGATCTATTAACTGTATTATATCCCATATATAAAAGTGAACATTGAAGTCAACGCTCAACATTCATGGTAGACGCAATCCTCAGGTCACTTGACAATTGTGTCTAGCTTGAAATAGCCTGTTGCCTCTGAGTGTTGACTTCAATGTTCACTTTTATATTTATATTTACACACACTCTATCTCTGATATTGAGCACTTTATCCCATAAATATAGCACAACTTAAAACTATATTTCTTTCATATATGTATGTATATATATATATATATATATATATATATATATATATATATATATATATTTTCAAATGATGTTTAGTCAAGCTGAGAACATTTTAGCTCTCTACCTCATTATTTGAAAACTTTGTCTCAGAATATTTAAATATTTACATGAAGAATGACAAATTCTACCTCACTGCAATATGACATTGAACTTATTTTGCACTTGTTGGCTCAGCATTGGGATTGAGAATAAGAGTTAAAAAGCCTAAGGTACTATGTCCAGCAATAACATGATTAAGTTTATGACTTTAAGAATTTAAGCCAGGCAACTGAAGAGAAATGATCTTAAACCAAAGATAATGATTGGCATTTTCTCTTGAAAATCAGTTCTTTTTTTTTCTCTGAAATATGCTTAAAAATTCTTTAATTGCAGATATTTCCTGGGCATAAAAATTAAAAGCAATATTCAACTATGATTTTGTAGAAGTATATTTCTTGTTAAAACTGAAGTAGATGATGTTCAAAATATTTACATTTTATTTTGTACTAAACTATACGTTTTTTTTGCATGCGGATTTTTCAAGCACTTTTCATTCTCTCGTATTTTAGCTTATTCAAACTGATAAGTGTATACAAAATTATTTCTGTTGCTCTGAGTTTGTCAGAAAGAAACATTAAAGTTTTGCCTTAATAATTGCAAATTTTGCACTGAAAAAATTGTTTCCACTTTGAACACTTAACACTTTTTATTTTGATGTGTCATCTTCAATCAAGCTGCACATCATATTCTGATTACATCCAGGTCTTTTTAACATCATTTCTTTCTTTCACACTCATCATTTTTATTGACATCAGTGAGAAAAAAAAAACCCTCAAAAAACATTATAAATGTGTAATTTAAGTATACCACCAAAATTACAAACATATATTTGAATGAAATAATTCATTAACCTCCACTATCATTTATAGCTTCATCCTTGCTTATTACTTTATAGATAATTAAACTATTTTTCATTAATTAATCCTCAATATGCATTTGTACGTAATCCTTCATTTAAAATAACCAGTACATAATTAGAATGTTTCCAGTTTTCTCATTGGAATCAGTATATACTTACAGATGTAAGTCATAAACTGAAAATCTATATACATTCATATGTAATACCTCATTTAAAATACTATACACCCAGTCTTTCTATATATCTATATAGGAATCAGTATATATACTTACAGCCACATAATGTTGAAAAACATTAAGCCCATTAAGCAACCTCAAGCCTGGTACCTAGATAGATGTTCACTTGAGAATACCAAATGCTGTATGCTTGGATGTGTAGGTGGTCAAATGGAAAATGGCTCAGAATTGTTAATTGGTGAGTCAAGTTCTTATTCCTATTGGGCTCATTATATTCACTTACACACAAATACTCTTGGGAATGCTATGAATCCAACTCTTCTTCCCTCCCGCTATGGGTTAATTAGTAAGACTCATATCACTAAACCATTATTATCTCCAAAAAATTCTGACAATCTAAAAATATTTTCTTACAGACATGGGCTTACAGCCACATCACATTGAGACACTGGTTCCCATATGATCACTGAAGTTAAGCAACATCAAGTTTAGTCAGTAGCTAAATGAGTGACTGCTTGGGAATATCAGGTGCTGTAAGCTTGGATTTGTGTGTAGTCTAATGCAGGGGTCAGCAACATATGGCATAGCATGGCACATGTGGCAGGCTAAGTAATTTCCAATGGTACGTAGACCAAAAATGACATCACAAAGTCCAAACCAAGAACTACTACAATGCAACAAAGATATTTATCTGTTTCAAAACTGCTCACTCTTTGGACTCCCATTAATAATAAAAACTTAAAAAGAAAAACATTTAAAAACAGTTTATTTCTATTAATATGGTTCACATATTATTGTATATATTACGATATAAAATATATTGTAGAGCAAGTATATTGACCATGACTTGTACAAAAATATGATTGCTGTTGACACACTGAATGATTTTAAAACCCAAAGTTTGCACATAATCAACAGTTGCTGACCCTTGGTCTAATGGAAAATGGCATAGAATTGTTAACTGGAGAGTCAAATCCGAATTCCTATTGGGATCATTATATTCACTTACATGCTAATACCCTTGGGAATAATATGAATCCTCTTCTTCCCCTCAGTTATGGGCTAATTAGTAAGATATTTGTCACTAAACCATTATTATCATCAAAAAAAATTCTTACAATTTATAAATATTTTCTGGCTTTAAATATCCTGCAAAGGGTTGATAAGCGGTAAAAATAAATCAATTAATCAACCGAAATTTACAGGCATAAGTAATAAACTAAAAATATAACTGTATAAAAATTTTATATATGTTTTTGAGTTTCCTAGAATTTAAAAAATTATCATTACCAGATTTATATATAATGATTTATTGCTTCAACACTAATAAATAAATATGTTTTTAACTCTGAAAATGTTAACCCTTATTTTTCATCAGGAGCCAAACCTGACTTTGCTAAATACTATCGGTTATATTTTAGTTAGGTTCTGTAATTTAACAACATATCAGCCCTTGTTGGGTTACTTAATATGTGTGATTACTTCACTTGTCTGCCAAGGAACTTCTGCTAATGACCATTAAGTGAAATAACAGAAAAGGAGTACAAAGTCTCCCTATTTTTTTTACTTTTTACTCTTTTATCTAGACAATGTCTTAGAGATAGGATATGTCTTATTTACTCCTCAGGTTGGGAAGCTTTTTGGCCACCAGCAAACCTAACGTTGATTTGAACACAGTAAAAAAAAGGATACTACAAGCTTATTTGACTACCTACAGACATACCTAATTCTACCAAACCAACAAGGAACTCTTCTCAAATGTATGTCAACAAAACGTATTATATATATATATATATATATATATATATATATAATGTGTGTGGGGGGGGCACCTCAGCATGGTGTAATGGTTAGCAAGCTTGTCTTGCTAGAACATATTACAACTGAGTAGTGAGTTTGATCCTCACTGGGTGCTCCATACTTCTGTCCTTGTGCCACATCAAAGCAGCACTTAAAAAATCATTATATATATATATATATATATATATATGTGTATAAAGAGATATTTTGATCTACAGTTTCTTATCCCTTTTCTTTTTATATAGTTTGCTGAGGTAATAAAATATTAATATAAGTAATGGTTTGTAATTTAATTCCTATCTCCTGCTTGAGATGACTGCCATGCTGACCAGTTATTATGACATGTACTTTCTATTTTGTTTATTCTATCATTAGCAACAATTATTAAATGTAAGTCATGTAAGATAAAAATCAAAATGAATTAATAGGCAGATAGACATACAAAAAAGGTAGATATATCTGGTTCACACTAGTGTCAAAAAAGATAAATACATTTTGGATTTTATACTGGAGTTGTCAATTTTTATGTGCCTAAGAAACTGTACAGAAAAATTTTTGACTTATCAATCAAAATGCTTCCATGTTGCATACACATATTAAGAAAAGAAAAGAAAGCCTCTCCATTGGACAAGAGCAGTGTTAAAGGTCAGAAAATATGCCAATTTGTTTACCTCCTGGCCAATTGTGAGTGTCATGAGATTTTTTTTAATCATTTCACTCTAAGCAATGCAATAAAGCCACTAGGATGCAAGAGGTTACTGAGTGTTAGAGAATATGAGAAAAACTACCATTAAGGAGAGAGGACATTAAATATAAGAATTATGAAGGCAGAAGATAACAATTAACATTGTATTTAAATTTTTGACTGGGAAGCAAGAATCAGGAAAAGAGTTCCACAAATGAGAAATGCAATAAAAGAAACTATTAGCATATAACAGAGTTGAGTAAACTGCTTTAAAAACTCCATTTTTTTTGGTGTGTATGGGGGGGGATGTATGGATATTTGTGATTATTCTTGTGCGGCAGTGGATTAGCTAAGCCAACCTTACAGATTTTTGAAGACCTTATGGTATTTTAAGACATTCTATTCACTCATTACAGAAGCATAAATGTTTTTTGTTCTCATTTCTACTTCCACAGATAAATAAAGTGATCTACAAAGATCCAAGTGGATCTCTCGACTATCATCATCATTGTCAATGTCATAATAGCATCAGCATCAATCATATCAATAACAGTAGAGAAATAATAAAAATTGAAACAGTTTTAACTTTTAAACAGATATCAATGCAACAGTGGAATAGTGGGCTGTGTTCAATTTCTATGTTAGTCTGTTGCACTCACTCTCATGCCATTGCCTTTTTAAAAGGCATGAATCTGTGCTTACTCCTTCTTCAAATGGGGGTTAGATAGGAGGGTAGACTGGGATCTCTAGCCTTGGGTCTACAAAAAGGTAAACTCTGAATTCTAAACCATGGAAAAGGTGACTCGGTAAAAATTCAACGACAAGACTTGACAGTTCACAGATAATATAGAAAAAGGAATGTGTATGAGTCATGATCAACTCTATGCTGAAGGGACAAAGTCCTTAAATAAAAAGATAATTACCATGATCATTTGTATTACTATTAAAAATCATTGTAAATATAACAGCAGCAATTCTAAGACTTTTCTGGTTTTTTTTTTGCTTCTGATAAGTGTAAAACATAATTAGAGACTAAAAATATTCTGATATTATGAGTTGAGGTCAAAATGCAGACTGATTTAATGACTGAATTTTTCAATGCTAAAAATATCTTTGTCTATTTTTCTCAATCAGAGATTATAAAAATTTTCTTTCTTATCTGACTTATCTGTTTATTGCAGTACATTCTTTTAAAAAGTTTATATAGTCTAAAATAAAATGCCTTTTATCCTGTAAAAGGAGATTATGTACAAATGAAACAAGATTAATAAAATGGAAAAGTTTTCTTTGAAACTAGTCAGGTTCCTTGGAAAGATGTAACAGGAGGAGGAGGGGGAAATGAACTAGAAAACAAACTAGAATGGGAAGAGAGTGAAGCCACGGGAAAATTCTGAGTAAAGAAGAAAGTAAAGAGTTGTTTGTAATTAAATCTGCCCTTCAAGATGAAATCCAAATAAATCCCACAATAAAATGGAAAAAAATAGCAAGAAAATTTTAAAAAAATCAATTCACCCCATTTAAGTCAATAATGCCACTAAGATTGAAATGGTTACTGGGAGTGTAAAAGAATGAGAAGACTTTTAGTAAGGAGAAAGGGCAGTAAAACAGGATTCAGGTAGACAAAAAATGGTGATTGACGTTGCCTTTAAATTTTAGAAATTGTAGTTGCCTAGGAAACAGCTGATTCTAGAGATGAGATGTGTAAGAAAAGAAACTATTAGAATATGACCTACGGTTACATCAAGCTATTTCAATCATAAAATGATGTGACCTACTTGCCAAAGTAATAGTATTTTTAAATTCACAAAAATCCCTCTTTTCTGAATTCAAGAAATTGAATTAACCCTTATAGCAAAAGCAAGAAAGGCACAGGAAGAACATTATTTTCCCATGGAGAAGCAACAATACCATTTTTAAAAAAATGCAAAATGCAAGACATTTTCTAAAAAAAATTATTACAGTGGAATAAAATAATAGATGTTTGATTGGGGAAAAGTACACCTTGCATTGACCAGAGAGTTATGTGTCTACATTCTGAAATAAGAAAAGCATTATTCATATTGTTGGCTAACCTCTTTCTTTATTTTCCTTCATATAGAGCACTCCTCTAGGTGTTCTATATGAAGGAAAATAAAGAAAGAGGTTTTTTCCATATGAATTTATACAGATACCAGTTAGCTACTGTTGATACTGTCTGCCGCTATTACTACCAGATCTGTTTTGTGGTCTATGTTTTATATCAGGTGACCTAACTCACCGCACATAGATCAGGGGAGAAATCAGTTATGAAAATGATGTTAATCATGAGGATAATAATGATAATAAAAATAAGTTTTTGAGAAATAATTAGGAAGAATATGGATAATCTGATGAAAAGCAATGAAGAGTGGGTGAAAAGAGAAGTTATATAAAACTGAAAAAATGAAAATGTAAACACCATTTGAAGAAGAAAAGCAAATAGGTAAAATAAGAAACATGCAAAAAAATAAGATTAAGAAAAGAGAGGAAAATGGGAAGAAGAAACTAAGAAGCCTGAGGAAAAGTAAGGGAGAAGCTGAAAAAAGAAGACGAAAAGAATAAAAGAAATAGAGTAATAAGAAAGATTAAATGAATCAGGAAGAGAGAAAATTCTCTCTCTCTCTCTCTCTCTCTCTATATATATATATATATATATATATATATATATATATATATATATATATAGAGAGGGAGAGAGAGAGAAATTATAGTGATTGGCTAAGAATAATTTAGATGTGCATACCCCTATATATACATACACACACATATATATATATATATATATATATATGCAAATGAACACACATATACAAAAGTAATATTCAAATCAGATTGTTTCTTCCTCGTGGTTTATTTGTCCCTTTCTCTCTTTTTTTCAAATAGGAAAAAAATGTTTTTTGTCATAAAGTATGTAACACATGTTGACATTTCACCATCTGCAAGTTCCACACACGAGGATAAAAAACAAAACAAAAAACCTCTTGTTCAGTTTATGGCAGCCATTTGTAGAAATTTCACTGTCTTTCTTGTACTATTTTGAACATGTGAAACACATTGTTATGGTGGGGGTGATTAACAAACAAAAAACAAAACACTATGGAAAACTGAAATAATATTCTGTTTTCAGCAGAAAATCTTTTTGTTTCTTGGTATTTGATGAAGATTTACATGACCATTATTGTTCATTATATAAAGGACAAATTGAAGAGGAAAAAAATAAGAATAAACAGACTTAAAAAGAATGCCAGTAAGAAAGAAAGAAGTAGAGAAACTGAAAGGAAGACTGTAAAAAGAAAGAAAGAAAGAAAAGCTGAAAATAAAATTGGCGGTAAGAATAGAAAAAAAGACAAGGAGAAAGAAAAGTAGAGAAAAGATTGAATGAAAAAAGCGAAAAAAGCAGAGTGAATTGAAGATAGAGTATAAAGATAAGCACAGTATGGGTAGAGAGAGGAAAGACAGAAAAGCAGAGAATATGGTAGAATGAAAAGCAGAGAAAATTGGAGGTAAAGAGTAAAAAGAGTGAAAGAAAGGCAGATAGTAAAATTGAACATAGAGTAAAAGAAAAGAACAAAAAAGTAAAATTGATGGTAGAAGTAGAAAGAAAGAAAGAAAGAGCAGAGAAAATGGAAGGTAGGGTTTAAAAAAAAAAAAAATATTGAAAGAAAGATACATAAGGTAGAGAGTAAACAGAATGAAAGAAAAGCAGAGCGTAAAATTGAAGGTAAAGAGTAGAAACAAAAAGAATAAATAATGGAGTAAAATTAATAGCCGAGAGTAAAATAGAAAGAAAGAAAGAAAGAAGGCAAAGTGTAAAAAGAAGGAAAAATAGAGAAAAAAAAAATGAAATATTGAGAGTAGAAAGAACAAAAAGCAGAACAAAATTGGAGTTAAAAAGTAAAAACAAAAATGAAAAGCAAAGAGTAAAAAGGAAGCAGGATAAAGAAGAGAGGAAATTATTTGTAAAAAATCTTTAAAATTTACAAAAAAAAAAAGAAGAAATTTGAATTGAGAGGAATTAATCTTAAGGAAGCAGCTAACATGATATAATATACAGGATCTTCTTACTCTAACAGAAATTGGATAGACTAAAACAAGGAACTTATGTGCAGTAAGAATATGCTCAAGGTAGTAAGTTTTCTGTTAGTGTTTCCTTCTAAATATATGGTCAACATTACTGTAGACATGTGTCACCTGACTGAAAGACAAATCTACCATTAAGGCTGATTTTAGTAAATTGAGGCTTTTCTGATTCCTTTACAAAAAATTGCACCCCCCCCAAAAAAAAACACTCTTCATTTACTTGCTCCTACTTTCTGTCTCTGACTTCTAATATTTTGCAGATTTTTGCAAATTTTTAAACAGAGCAGAGAGCAATTTGTTCGTGGATAAGTCAGGTAAGTACCCAATAATAATAATAATAATAATTAGCATGGAAACCACTTTATCTTTGGCTGTCAGGTCATCTGAAAATGTAATGTTTATACACATTAGCAAAAAGTATGGTATCATTAGTCTTTCACTGCTCATAAAATACTCTCTATTTGCACATTTTAACTTCATTTATCCACACAGCCAAATTTTTATTTTTAGATTAATCAGCCAAGTACACACACACACACACACACACACACACACACATATATATATATATATATATATATATATATATATATAAATTACTGGCCACTTGTCTTCAAGTACACCTGTCTGCTGGAGTGACCAGCTAATCCCTGTTATAGCCACATGCTCAAGCACATTTGTGTTTCTTCAACACCCACAGATCCAATCAGTGATTTATATAGCAATGGTGTGGAACAGACCTAAATCAAAATTAGCAAGAGAGGACATAAGCTGGTGTGATCAGAAGTTCATCAAGGCCTGTACAATCAAACCATTGCTAAATAGTTTTGACTGTCCAATTTCACTAAGAATGCTTGAGTCAGCCCATGATTTTTAGACATTTCCCAATTGTGCCCCTTGCTGGAATGGTCTTCCCAATCAGATATTATCAAGAAGTCCTTGACAAAATGACCATGGTTAGATTTGGATCCAGGTCTCATGGTCAGAACACTAATATTCTAACACCTTGAACTTGCAGATATATATATATATATATATATATATATATATATATATATATATATATAATATATGGTCTGATCAAAAATTATCAGGACTGTTGCTATAGTAACAAAGCTAAAGTATACAGAATGAAGCTGTTTGGTACCAATTGATCTCAAACTCTGTTGTTCATACACAGTAAGTTATAATGTTCTCATTTCTTTCCATTGTGTTTTAAGAATTGTAACACCACAATGATCCCATCACACACTCAACATTCCCTTACTTTCAAATCCTGTGTATGATGATAAACAACATCCGGCAGCAAAACCTCTGATCAAGAGAATGGATATTTTGAGAAGCATGGAACCTTCTCTTAATTGCTTCTGTTCCAAGGTCTACCTTCACCCAGGGTACTAGCTATGGGCAAATAGTGAACCCCTAAACAGAAACAAAATACCATGAAAGCATAAAAGTACATTTTTATAGTAAACATACCAGCAATACATTTTTATATAAAAAATGACCATCAACATAGTAAAATTACCAATAATACAACTTTATAGCAAAATGCATTTTATCAGTAGTTCAAAGACATAAAATTGCATTCAAAATATTTAGATTTCGACATTAAATAACCCATAGAGGTTGATATGCCACTAAGCAAATCAACCAAGGAAACAACCTACATGAAAGAACTTTTTAATTACATTAATCCATATAATATCCTAGTTTCTTAAAGAAATTACACTGTATTCCAAAATATAACTTCAACAAAGCTACAACTTAAAACACACTTATCACTGCCTTTAGTAATCATATCTGCATAAATATGTATATGGACAAAAGCTGAGTACCATCTACCATGTATTCAACTGTGAAAGCAGAATAACATGTATTACATTTTTATTACTTCAAAGCTCACAAGAAGATTAGATTTCAGCATTAAATGATCCATAAGGAGTTTATATGCCATTAAACAAACAATCAATCAATCCTTACTTCCATAGAGCTTAGATTTTGTGGTTGCGGAGATTTCTCCTTGAAAAACTGACTTTTACATTTAGCATTATTCTATATAACCAATTTTTCATCACCTGTTATTGTGATACTATTTGTCATTGATGTGGTAAAATGGAAAACAGTTTTATTAAAATAATAGATAGTATTATGTGCTGAGAGACACTGAAACGAGAAGAGTTAATACCAAAGACCCATTGGAAGAATTGAGGATTTATTTCACACAACTGAACAGTGGAAAAGTGACCCAGACTTAAGGGGCAAATGTTGATTGACACACAGCTGCAAATGCAAGCTGTGAAGTGCAAACTTCATTTTCATAAACAACAAATTTGGAATTGACTCTCCTGTTGAAAGTTGATTCGAGACAGGAAGAGGTTTAGTGAGAGGTAATGACATGAGAGATTGGGAGAAGAGTATTCCCCAAAATTATGTCAATGAATATGAATGCTCAAAGTAAATTCACCAGATGAGTCAGAGTAGAAGACAGAGATGAGAGGCAGAAAGTTTGTCTCAGCCACCAGTCGCGATACACCCCACATGAACCTCTGACTTCAGCCTTGTGCCAAACTACCAATAACAGCAAACTAGATTTTTGCCAGGTCGACAATGGTATCACTTTCGAATTAGATGCAGGTTGGGCTGACAATTAATTGCATGTGAATTTTGATAAACTGATTATTGTATGGAGGACTGATATAAAAACAGGAATTACTTTTGTTCAACTTATTTGAGTGTTATTTTTTTTCTGTACGTCATCACCTTGCTTGGACCAGCCCAACACAAAGATACCTGTGACAATTCAATCTTGGCTGCCTTATGATCAAACTTAAATCATAACATGGGATAAGGTTGGCTCTTGATTGAAATGGTCACTTCAGCTGGAAGTTTTGGATGACCGGCTATGGTGTTGCATGATTACATCATGATTTATTTAAGGAATGCTCAGTTAGGATGATACATGTATTTTTACAATTGATTCCTTAAAATAGAAATTACTTAAGCTTCAAATTGATAGAATTAAAAAATAAAAATATTTCAAGTAGAAATGCTCAGCTTAAATATAGTAAAAATAGAAATAAATTGGCAATTATAGTCTCACTTAATTTTCTTCCTAATTCTCTTGTAGTTTCTGAACATACAGAAACACTAACAGAAAATTATAACTATATATAAAATCTGTATTTGAAAAATTCTTGACTCTAGTTTTCATTTCATCAAAGCATAACCATCAAAAATGGTAACAATCGATTAATTTGAGGTCTGGTTGTTAGGGTCGAACTGGCTGAAAGAATTTCAAAATCTTTCTTGTGTTATTCCTTTCTGTATGTAGTTTTGTATTGTCAAAAAGGAGGACAACATTTTTCCTGCTGATGAGTACAGAATGCTTATAGGCTAAACTTTTATGCTGGCATATAAATGAGCATTTAGTGTTTCATTGTGTTTAAGATCTCTAATACCCCAATAATAAACACACTCAACATTACCTTTCATCAAAGGTGCTCAGTTGTGGAGATTTTTCCTTGTCAGTACACTGTCTTTGGCACCAAACATTATTGTATATAAACCATTTTTCATTACCTATTATGATATATTTAAGTTAGGCTGATATATTCATAGTTACATTTGGTTCCCAAAAATGGAACTTAAGATTCAAACTGACAGAATGCAAAAATAAAAAAATATTACAAGTAGAAATGCTCAGCTTAAATAATATAGCATAATAATAGATATAAATTGAAAAATATGATCTTACTTTCATTTTCTTTCTACTCTTGTAGCTTCTGAACATACATAGACACTAACAGAAAATGATAATTATAAATTAGATCTGTAAGTATTTCAATGTGTGTACTTGAACAGAATGTATCTATACCAAAATAATCAATATAAATCCAAACATTTATATCATATCTCATCTGATTTGTGAAGCTGTACCCTGCTTTAGAGTCTAGAATCCTTGTGCACACATGATTTATGCAGTAGTTTGAACTTCCTTACTGAGTTTATTGCCAGAAACTAATGTGCAGTAACTTTTAATCCAGGTCCAGCCGTGTCTTAGTCCCTGTCGATAAGAGAATTACCAGTGATAAGAAAACGCATCAGTAAGTAGATATATCACTTCTGTTACTCAGATGAGCAGACAACGCAAACTTGCTAACTCCAAAGAGTGGAATCTTGCCATGTAACTACCAAAACTTGATTAAGTGGTCCCTGTTCCTGAAAATGTGTATGCTCTGCTTCCTTCTGAATGTCAAAGCCATCTTCATCCTTCAGACTTCATTCTGCCAAAATCCAAGCCATCATTTAATACCTGCCATAACTCATATCAAAATCATGACGATTGTTAAATTTCTTTAATCTTACCTTGCTCAATAAAAGACATTTTTGTCAAAAAATATTTGGTTGGGAAGAAACATTAAATGTAAATCTTCTTTTATGTGTTGTGTTCCTTCAGGACATAGGCGATCATGGCCCACCACATCCTCCTGTTCCTTGTAGTTCTTAATAAGTTTTGTCTTTTTTGTTATTTCTTCTAGACCCTGTTCCACCATCTACTTGATCAAGCCCATTATTTCTGTCCTGAGTAAGATGATAAACTACGTCCAACAGCAAGGCATCTGATCAGGAGGTTTTGGGGAGAATAGACCCAACTCTTAATTGCTGGTGTTCCCAGGTTCACCCTGACCTGCAGTGGTAGCACCTGTTAGGGTCCCAGCAATGGGCCAATAGTTAACCCCCCAAACTGGGGTCAAAACACTATGAATGTGTAAAAATAGGTTTTCATACCAGAAATACTTTGTAAAAAAAAAAAAAGATATTACCAGCAATACATTTTTGAAAAAAAACAAAAACAGAAATACTTTGAAAAAAATTATTACCAGCAATAAAGTTTTGAAGAAAAAATTATTGCCTGCAATATATTTTTGAAAAAAGATATTACCAGCGAGATATATATATATATATATATATATATATATATATATTGAAGAAAAAATATTACCAGAAATAGGTTATTTGTAGAAAAATATTACCAGAAATAGATTTTTTTTTAAAAATTACCAACGATAAAAATTTTGTCAGCATTAAATAACCCATTGGGGATGATATGCCAGAAAACAAACCAAACCAAGCCCATTATTTCCTCTATCCATCATGTGAGTATTAGATTTTCCAAGCACTCCTTTCTTATAATATGTCCCAGAAATTTCATTAAGTTTCTTCTTTGTTTCTATTCTGTCCAAAACCTCATTGTTGCTCACATGGTCAACCCATGGTATCCTTAGCCATCCTTCTGTAGAACTACACTTCTGTTGCTTCAAGTCTTTTCTTCATCTTTGAGGAAACTGTCCAGCATTCACTGCCATACAGAAGAACAAATATCATGTAGCAGTTCAATAATCTTTTCTTTGTTTCCAACAAAACTTTTCTGTCTTGGATTACTCTGTTTAGCTTTTGAAATGAGTCTTTGGCCATCCCAATATGTCTTCAGATCTCAGTATCATGTAATCCATCCTCTGTCTGAATACTTCCCAGATATTTCAATTTCTGTACCTGCTTGATTTTAGTATCCTTAACCTATCAATCACATTTGGGATCATCTTTTTACTGATGACCATGCATTCTGTCTTCTTGTATTTTATGTTTAGTCTCTTCTTCTCACACTCATTCACTATCTTCTGTAGGAGGTTTTGTAGTTTCCTTTTCATGTCTGCTATCTTACGATTTTAAGATTGTGGCCATCAGTGATGAATCCTGGTAGGATTTCCAGTTCTCTCAGAATTGCCTCACTGTATGGATTGAATAAGTCTGGTGAGAAAACACATCCTTGCTTTTCACCCTTTTCTATTTTTGCATATCTGCTGAACTCATTTTTTATATGTATGCTGGCCGTTTGCTGCCAGTAGAGGTTTTTGATTATTCTAATGTCTTTCCCAAATATGTCAAGGTTGCTGAGTAGTTTCAAAAGATCTTTGTGGTGTACTTTGTCAAATGCTTTTGCATAGTCTATAAAACACAGGTACACATTCTTCTGCATTTGGATTGCCCTTTCTGATTAAATCGAAATAAGAGTACAATTTACATGATGTCAAATTCTATGAGGTAACTCTGTTTTCACAATTAAATTGCTATTATATGAATGATGTTGGTAAAATTTTCTGAATATATCTATTTTATATGGAAAATTTACTATGTGAATTCAACATATAATATGATTTTATTAGACATATTTACAAGAAATCAAGATGTTGAATTTCCTCACTACTTTAAACAAAAGGTTAGAAAGGAAACTCTCATCAACACTAGAAAAAGGGATAAAAGTGGACTTGAGAAACCTGTTTTCTCGAAAAACTGTTTGAAGAGAAAAATCTTATAAATTTCAACAGATATTAACACAAACTGTTCAGATAATGAGTGCTGAATATCTCCATATAAATGTTTAATTTCACTTTTACCATCATCATTTATTATTGTTTCCTCATGTAAATCATAGTCTCTTCAGGATATGAGTGATCATCACTGTCCATAAATTCTTATCCCTTGCACATAAATTATTTAATTCACAATAAATTTTTATTTTGCAACTAAAGTGCTATTATTGTAATAAAAATATAATATTTATTGATAGTTATTTCTTAATTTCAGATACATATAAAGTAGATATTGGTCATAAGAAAGATATAACTTTGAAAATGAATGAAGATATTGTAATATTATTGAGTTATTGGAATACAATTTTGGTCATCACAAAAAATTGAACAGAAATCATAGATCAATCAAAAAATAATTGAAAATATTGGTGTTATAAGGACAAGAAAAAATAATTTTAAGAATGCCACAAAAACAAATGTGAGAAAAATTTAATGGATAATAAGCAAAGAAAAGTTGATTGATCAGCAAGAAAATATTTTTAAAAGTTTTGGTAGCAACGTAAACAGAGAGAACAGATAATTGGTTAAATATGTTAAAGCGATCAAAGTATTGGCTTGGAACAAAATTTCACAGTGTTTTTCAGTAGATAGATTTTGAACATTTGATTTCTTTCATACATAACTGAAATTTATTATATGTATAAATATTCTGAATAGTAACATTCCAACAAAACTTCCTATTTTCATGTCTATAAGAAATGCAAATTTTAAATGTTTATTTATTAAAATTGAAATAAGAAACATTTTCACTATTTTATGCTCTTTTATTTTTGAAAAGGAAATGTTGTACAAATAGCAAAACAGATGTGTGCCATTTATCGAGATGGCATTATAGCTGAGAGTACTCTTCATAAACGGTGTGCTTGTTTCCGAAGTGAAAAGTTTAACTTTTAAGACCAATAACATTCTGGCAGGTCTGCAGATGTTGATGATGAACAAATTGAAGGTTAATTTAAAATAAACCATGTCACACAAGATGGGGCACTGCAGAGGTACTTCACATATCTCATATGATAATTGTAAGGCATTTGAAAGTCCTTCGATATGTGAATTGTCGTTATTCTCTGCTAAAATGCAATATAAATTAACTATTTCTGGAAAAATGATTGCAGACAATGAAAAATGAACTGTTTTCAAGAATGTACACCCTGGTGCAAATTAATTGCAACAAAACGAAGAATTCCTTTATCATTTACTTTTTTTCATATTTTTCCAATGAAACATGACTGAGAGCCCATGTTAGTACTTTGTATGTCCATTCCACAAAGTCGTTCCTTGCAGATTGACCACAAATTCTCAATTGGATTTAAATCAGGAGAGTTTCCAGGCCAGTCTATAGTACTTTGATTTGCTCACTGGTAAGCCTTGCCAGTGCTTTTGTGCAGCATTATAATTTTTGCATGCAAGCTTGGAGTAACGTCCATTGTAGACAATGGCCATAGGAAAAATAATTGATAGTCAACACAATAGTGTCTGGGTGTGATAAAAATCTGATGCAATCAAGGATGATGCAATATTTTTCAAGACCAAACAAATTTCACCATACACACCAAAAATAGATTCATATTACTGTACACCACTTCAAATGACCTAATCTGAGATAAAAATAGAAATCGATTACACACTGTCACCCCAGTGTGTCTAAAACTAACCGCATGGTGAAAGAAAGGAAACTAAAGTGGTTGTTTCAATTAATTTGCACAAGGGTGTATAATAAAAACTTCTAGGAAAAATGATATTATTCATTATTAACCACTTCAAAAGTCAGTCTGTATCCAAAAAAGGGGAGACTGTTTACCCGGTGGAATTGGATTCCCATTGTGCATTATGATCTCCTTCTGCAAAATCAAATATTGAAATCAGACAAGTACTGTTCTCTATGGGATTAGTTAAAAGCGTCTGGAATTGGCTTATTGGAAGGGTGTCATCTTCCATGAAGACAACGTCAGATGTCACATTTTTTGCAAAACAAGCAGAAATTGGTACAACTTGGTTGACATGTCCTACTGTATCTGCTGTACTCAATAGTGACTTACACATCCTGATTACTACTTATTTCAATCTTACAAAAGTTTCTTAATAAGAAGAATTTTCTGGAAGTCTGTAAAACCACTTAGTTCAGTCTTTTATGGAAATAGTCAGTCAGTCTGAAGCTGGGAAATGCAGTAATAATTTGAGCTAGTATTAGAAATAATAAAATTCTAAGTCACTTCAAAGTCCATGATGGTGTGAAGTTAAAAGCAGAAAATCATTATAAATTCTTGTTTAAGACATTTTTGATTGGTACTGGTTATAACCAAGAAGATTTAATCAAAATAAGTCATACATGCATATGCTTATTATAATTTACAAACAGCAAGACAGGTCATTTTTCAAATTTTATTACAGGTTCGGTTCTTGTATAATAAATTATATTGCTACTATATATATATATATATATTCATGAATTATTCACACAAAAAACAAATGCAAAAGTTAATTGGCAAGAAATCCATCATCGCAAACAATTCAAATAATACACAAAAACCTCCGAATCCGTTATGAATGAAATGATCCTTGTTTCTATAAATTTCTACCGTATTAGTTCTTATTTTTACTACAAGCTTTCGTCTGTTCCTACAGACATCTTCAGGTATGGAATAGATGTTGTTCTTGTTTTTTCTCTTAGTAATAAGAGGACAACAAAAATATATGTATTGTTGTATCCGAAAATGCTATTGGAAATGAGTTATTGTTTTTGGAGCACGCAGTAGCAACGCTGAGTTTGATTTTAAATTTTTTACAGTTGTGCATTCATGTACAAATATGGTGATATACGAATTTTTCACTGGTAAATTTTCTGTCAAAGTGGCATAAACTATATTGTTCAATAATTACAGTAATGTCGCACTTATTATCCAAAAGTCGCACTTGGATCAGTTATTTTAATTACAATAAACGTGCAATCAATTTA